ATGATTTTATTGGAAATTTTATTGATGCGTTCTATCCAAACAAGATCAAGTCTCATTTTTTTAGAATACTTCTCATAGAAGTGTTTATCAATATGAAAAAACTGATTTGCTTCTATTTCATATAAATAACACCGATATGCTAATCCATATTCCCCTATCTTTTGTAATTGTCAAGTAACACCTTTTTTGTCCATTTACGAGCATCAAGTGAATAAGAAAAGTGAGGAGGAGAGTATGGGAAAATCAAACAAAGTGGTGGTTGTTGTTGATTTTTCATTTTTCTGAATGAACTAAAAAGTTTCAATAAAGAAAATTCAAAGAGCAAAAATTTGGTAAGAAAAATCATTAGTTTACATTTGAAGTTCCATTTGAATAGTTTCTGCTGTTACACGAGGATTCTTTTTACTTTCTTGAAGAAATACCCAAAGAGTTAAAATTGTTTCTACATGAAGTCTTCTTAAGTCAAGTGTAAAATCTCCAAGTAAAATTTCATTTCTATAACATTCATCATCAAAATAAATAATTTTTAATACCTCTTTGATTTGGTCAGAAGTTACTTCTCTAAGAAATGTTAAAATAGTTTGAAGAATTTCATATTTGTTTTTACAATAAGAGTCAATAAATTTCTCACGATATATCAAATAATATTCTTTTGGTTGGTGTCTACATTGCATTGACATGATTTGATGATTTTGAGATAGTTATGATTTAATTATTATTTTTTCATTTTATTCAAATTAAAAGAAATGAACAAGAGGAAATTTGATATATTACAGTAACATAAATGAATTTAAATTTGATTTATTCTTTAAACTTTTAGGGACATAAGAATTGTATTATTATAAAGTGTTGTTTATTAGAATTACCTTTTACTATTAGATCTCATATTTTTTAATTAACTTATACCAATGCAAAACCCCATGACTCCTTTTATTGAAGAACCTATTGCCTCATACATTGAAAATAATGATGACCCTAATAATCCACATATAGAAGAAATTAAAGTAGTTGATGCTGAAAGATTATTATTAAAAGAAAAAACTATAGATGAAGTAGCAAATGGTCAATACATTGCATTAATGAGAAAAATGGCAGAGAAATACCCTGATAAAGAAGCAATGGATAAAATTTTTAATGAATTTTGTCAACAACAAACAAATAGTGGAATGAGTGATCAACAAAAACAATATTCATCAGCATATAGAATGATTGAAAGTGCACTTGCAACAAGTCTTTCAGCAGGAGAAAATGGAAGTAAAATTATTGGAGGATTACTTTCTAATCCAGCTAAAGTTGTTATGCAAGAACAAAGTTCAAGCCAACAATATCCACCATTAGGAAGTGATTTAATGATTCTTGAATATCAAAGAGTTTTTAAAAAATGTGTTGAAGGGACTTTGAAAAATTCAATAAAATTATTAGAAAAAACACGAATTGATTCAGAAAAGGTATTTATGGTTTTAAAAGGACTTTCTTCAAGTTGGAAATTAGAAAAGGATAAAAATGGATTAAAAGTAATGTTATTTAGTGGAATTAATAAATATTCAACATATTTAATATATTCACAAGAATTAAAAGAACTAATTCCTGTAATTCCTAAAAAAAGTATGGGATATATTGAGATGAAACTAATGTCTTTAGAACAATTCAAAAATCAAAGACATGAAATGAAAGAAGAAAAAAATTTAAAATATAAAACAGCTTATACAAATACACATTTTAATCTTCATTTATTAAGAAATAATAATATTAGTCAAACTGTATTTGATTACTTTATGTTAACAAATCCTAATGATATTATTCATAGAAATGAAACATCAATTACAGTTTTATTAAATTCTATTGATCCATTTGTTCTTCAAGTTAATTACATTCCTATTCAATATACTTTCACAGTCAAACCAAATGAAGTAAATTATAACCATTTTGAAGTTTATGAAAAAGAACCAATTGAATTTATCATAACTCTAAAACAAATCATTCAACAACAAATGATAGAAATAAAAAATGAACAACTTCCAGAAAATGAAAAAGTTGTTATTGACAAGAAACAAGTTCTTGATAAAACTTTTAATTATTTAATTATGAAAAGAAAAAGAATTGAAATAAATAAAGTGTTGCATGAGGTTGCTTCACGTTATATGAAAGAATATAAAGATCAACTAGTAATTGTCCAATGGATTGCTAGAGATCAAAAGATTGGTAATATCTCTTTCCATTTGTCCATTTATAACAAAACATTATACAAACAAAACAATGACTGTGAACCATTGAGAGTATATGATGGAATGATTTCAAATGGAAATGAAATTCATTTCCAAGGAAGAGATTTAACTTATTTGGTAAGTTCTGAAATTGGATTTATCATTCTCAGATTATTAAAACAAAAGTGTTAAACATTAATACAAGTAATAACATTGTTATAGCATTATTTTAATTCAACAAAAATATTTTCTTCTTCTTTTTTATTATTCATATTCAACATCTTATTTTTTGAGTCAATTCTAAGTTTTCTTTAATAATTAATTATAACAACACTCTTTTCTTTATTTTTATTGTCATTGGTTCAATGAAAAGCATAAATGAGAGAATAAAAAGTGATGATGAACTAAATAGAAACCAAATAAAAATAAATATTTTATGAATTGAACTTGAAACCATTTCTTAACTTGTTTCATCTCTATTTAATTTAAGACATGTTTATTTGATAATTTCTACTAAAGAGGCTGTATATTAATGTTTATTTTAAAATCTATTCTTTGATGTTAACCAAAGTGTTTTGTAAAGAGAATTTATTCCTTTTAAGTTTTAATTCTATTGAGAAAATACCAAGAACTATCCAACATAATAGAATACAAATACTTTAATATAACATTAGAATTTATTATAAAATGGATTAAATAATGGTAGTATTAATAAACATTCATAGCACTACACTAAACTCCAATTCTATTATTGTTTGTAATCTTCTTATTGTTCATATAAACATAATATTGATTTTTTTCAATAAATGTTAATCTCTGCTTTGATTTAATTTCTATTTACTTTAATTGCATATGTTTATTAATTCAATATATATTTTTATCTCAACATATTCTTTATCATTAACATAATCTTTCTTGTATTGTTAGTTTGATATAATATATAAAATACTGGTTATTAACTATAAACTACCCCTAATTTATAAAGGTGCCATAAGCAATGTTTTAGTCTTTGGTTTTTATTCCAGTTTTTATATCCGAATAACTAAAAAACGATTTTTGTTAATTCAAGCTATTTACTTTTATGTTCTATACACCTTTTGAATAGAACTCATATTTTATTGAATTTGTTCTTGTTTAATGATTCACTGTGGATGATTTTTATTAAGGTTATTTAATTTTTCTTTTTCTTAAAACTTTTTTGAAATACTTCTATTGTCTTTTCTAGTTTACTTATCTTATTAGATATTTTATTGTGCCAGGAACATTAATCCTCTTATTCTAATATCTTATTAAGTAATAAAAGAATTTTATTCTTATGTCATTGTTCATAAATAGTTTTAAAGCCTGCAATTTACATAACCTTTTCGATTGTTTATTGTAGTCAGATTCTAGTCTGATATTTATTAATACTATTCTTAATTGTACCAGTTGAATTTAGTATATACTATAATATATCTTTAGAGTATATATAAATGGTTATATGATTTGAGTAATTATGATTGCAATATCAATTGTTGATGTTAGTAAAAAGAGTTATAAGTTAAATTTATATTTTTTTTTTTTTGATTATTTACAGACATTATTCTCAGTGAGTTTAGTAATATTCTTGATAAATTTAATTTCTCCTTATATATCTTTTGTTGAAACATTTTTAAATTGCGAATGAAAAAATTAAAAAAAAATATAGATTAATTACCATTATTATGGCTATATAAAAATGAGAATAGCATTGTAACTTGAACGTGTTGTAAATAAATGAAATAATAAAAAAGTGTTTAATAGAGTTTGGTTGTGTACTTCTTGATATTGAGAACGATAAATTTTTATGTGTCTATAGTTTATTGTGAATTATAATGAACTTTATTTCACAAAAATGAATTCACTTTTTCTTTTTAGAGTTAATGAGAAGTTTTATTAGTTAATATAAATCTAATTTACAAAGCATTTGTTTAAAAAAGTATTTTTCTATATTAATTTAAACAAAATGAATTTTATTATAATTAGAAGGATTTTTATTGTTACAATGAGTTTTATTTATTTTGGTATAAGACCCAATTCCTTGCTTAAAAATTATTAAAAATGGTTATCATTAAATATCATTACACACTAATCAAATCTGAAAGATGAAAAGTAACAAAAAATAAATGGATGTTTATAAAATTAATAGAAGAAAGAGATATTCTGTTAATAAGAAAAAAACGCATAACAACAAACTGACAATGTATAATTTACTTGAGACAGTTAATTAATATTAAGCACATAATCAGTTGACAAATGTATTTAAAAGAAGGTCTAAGGTTTTTTCTTACTACTACACTTCAAGAGTTGTTTTTTCCTGGTTATCAATACATCTAATAATTTTTACTTCTAATTTAAAAGTTAATAAATCTAAAGGATATGTTGTTAAGAAGAAACTTTCATCATCTCTTTTCTCTCCTAATCCAATGTATTTTCTTATTTTTCCATTTTCTATGACTTCTAATCTTCCTCCAGAAATACAAAACTCGTTAGCTTCTTGTTCTTCACAAAATACAATATCATTTCCACCTTCCCCATTTCCAAGAACTTTTACCCACCAATCACCAGAAACTGTTTTCATACTTGGTGAATTATTCCATATTACATGAAATTTAACACCGATTTCTCCTTGTTCCATTTTAAAGAGAGTTGAATGTTCAAAGTTTTGATGAAGACAAGCTTTAAAATAAACAGTTCCAGGAATAATATCAATATTTGGTATTTCATTAATCATTGATATAAAATGAATTGGTTTAAATGGAACTGCATATGTTCCTATTCCATAAATTCCTGATAAATTGGATTTATAAAGAAAATGTTGTGCAGTATTCACTACAACCATTATTCCTTCTTTTGTTTGTTTTCCAGCATATAATTCACCTAATACATCAAATTGGTCATTGACCGAAGAGCTCGTTATATTTTCTGTTGTGCCTATGTGAGGAGAGTCATGTTGTATTAGACATTCAAACTTTTTATTAGTTAGTCGAAAACGAATTGATGGTTGATGTGTTGATGATAAATATAAATTGTTTGGAGAAAATGGTTCAATTCCTAGGTGTAAAGACTGAAACCGTTTTTGATGATCAACGGCACGAAGCCTAAAAGTTTGAGACGAGTGGTCTTCATCAAATGTATCAAAAAGAATTGCATTTGTTTTAAATTTTTGCATAATAAGATAATAACCACCATTGGGTCTTGGTTTTGGATGAAAACTAGCATAATAACATCGTGATTGTTGAATAAATGAAAGATAAAACGACGTTTCACGTAACGTCATTGCAATCCTTCTTTCAGAGTATTTTTGAGTTCTATCAGAAGTTTATAGGAGAAAGTCCCCAAAAAAAAAAAAATAATTGTTATATTTTAAAAAAAGTATTTTTTATTCACCTGTTCTTATAGATGATGGTTGTTAATAGTTAATTCAATTTAATCGTTAATTCTTTTGGTTCTTTTTTGAGAAGAAGAATAGAAAGATAAATATTAAAAGAAATCTTTTTTTGATAAAAAATAAAAACAAAAAAACTATAAACGAAAATTTATTACTTTAAGAAATAAATATGTCGTTAGCAAGTACCTCAGAGTTTAAAAGTCGTCATGAGACAACAACTTTGAATAGAAGTGGAAGTACCGAAATAAACACATATTCTCCTAAGTCTCTACCTCGTAAATCTGTAAGAAAAACATTAACACGAGTGTCATCACTTCTTTTTAAAACTGACAGAGATCCTACTAAACGACAAACCAAAAAACTGGCTAATGTTTTAGTCAGTTTACCAAATAGCGTTGTTACTCTCATTGACAAAATTAATAATTCCCAGAAACCATTAACCAAATTAGTTGACAAAATATATAAAGAGGATTATATCCCAGAAGATATAGAAACAAACCAAACTAATATTGACTGTTCATACTTGGTGAAGTTATTAGAAAATGAACAAATATACTTATTTGATGAAATTAGTAATATTACTTCAGTTCTTAGTCAATCAAAAACTAAATTATTAAGGTCTGCTCGAATTTTATGTAATGGGATGGAAGTATCTCATTTTCATTTATTAGAAGTTATGATAAAAGTACTACTTCCAGTTTCTGAGACAGGGTTTTGTGATGCATTTATTAGTCGGTTTACAATTCTTGATGATCCTGGGAAAATGTTACATTTAAAATTATTTTATGAAACAATATCACAGAACTATGAAATTATATTTAGTGTTTGTTATTTATATATCATTCATTTATCTACTATTTGGTATTTACTTAGATTAGAAAGAAAGGTATGACCCTTATTACATTGATGGAATCTCTTCTCGTGAAATTACTGCAGCTTCAGATGAAACAATGTTTGACTTAATATTTGATAATAATTATCATGAAGAACAATATATGAGAAATTTTATTTACTTTCTTCCATATGTAATGAAACATAGAGATGTTTATGCTACAATTATGAACTATTACAATATTTTTAATCAAGAACATCCTGAAGATGATGAAATGAAAGCTTTTTTAAGTTGGAAATTTGTAAGATTAGAAAGATTAGTATTGTCATGGCTTGATATAATGGCTACGATGATTTGTGAAGTCGAACCAGAGTTTTTTAAAGAATTAAATTCATCTCCATTACTTCAAAGTGAACAGTTAACTGTTATTTTTAAGAATAAATTTCTTAATTTCTTAAAGAATTATGACCATAAACATGACGAAAATACTGAAGTTGAAGTTGCGCCATATATGAAAAGTGTTGCTCGTGATGTTTTATTTAGTATGGTAACAGAAGAAACTAGTGATGAACAACAAATAAAAATACTATTAGAAACCTTTACTATAGATCCAATTTATTCAAAAGACCAAAAAACTAAAATTGTTAACTTAATTCAACTAAACCCAGTATTTCTTGCTGAACAACTGGTTTTATTTGATTTAACAGAATTCCAAAAAATTCATTGTCATGACTTCTATTTATCTAGAAAGAATAACACATTAGAAACTTATATAAGGTCTTGTCAAAAAGTAGAATTTTTAGCTCTTAGAGTCATGGATATTATTAAAAACCATAAAATTTGTGAATATTTTATCAAAGTAGCTAATTATTGCTATGAAATAAAAGGATATAACACATGTTATTTGATTTATTCTACTTTAACAACAATATCTATTAAACATCCTGATGTTTGGTCTAAAGTTAAAAAGAGTAAAACACAAATTTATAAGAAACTTCAAATATTATTTGAAATAGGAAATAATTATAAAAACTATAGAACTATATGTACTGATAAAGAGGGTATTCCTATAATGACTATTTGGATGCATGACATTGTGAATATCAATTGCATTCCGAATAAAATTGATGAACTTGGTTTATTTAACTTCTCAAAATTACGTGCTATTGGAAGTATTATTACTTTATTACATAGTCTTCAAAAAATTCAATTTAGTTTTAAGCCCTATGACGTTGTTCAAAGAGTAATCAATAACATCATTGTTCCAGAATCAAAGTAGTTGTATTCCTCTTTTTTTATGTTTCTTTAATATAGACTTTCTTTTCATTTCATTTTTTTTCTTTTATAAAAATACTATTTATTATAACTTAATCATTTAAAGTGGATTAAAAAAAAAAAGGATCTGAATCACCAAAACCAATCAAAATGTCTTCCCTTCATTTCACTAATAAGATTCTCAAAAGTGTACCAGTTGAAGAAGATGTTATATCCGCTGATCCTAATGCACAATGGCAATGGTATAGTGATAAAGGATGGTTAAATTATGAAGATAAACAAAATAAATTAATTGAGGAATCTTATGCTAAACATCTTAAAGTTATAGAAATAGACGAAGAACGGTTTGTTGACTTCGCCACTATGAAACAACGAAGAATTGATAACCCTTCAAAGTGTAGAAGAATACAACGAATTTCAACTAACACTAAACCCAAATCATCGCTCAGTGTTCCTTTAAATAAAAAAATGTCTTCAGTACATTCTCCTAAACCTATTTCCTTGTCTAACACAGTAACTCAAAAAAAATATACAACTCCCAGAGACACTAGTCCTCAACAACCTATAACTAATGTTATTACTAAACAAAATTTTTTACATTGTATTAGTATTCCTAAAGCCTCAACGCCTGTTGCTCCTGTTGTAAACAAACCATCGTTCATAACCAAATAAATACCTCTTCACCTTCTCTTTTAAACTCAATTTACTCAAATGACTCAGTAAATTCAGATACACACTCATGGACATTGACAATCTCTACTAAATATAGAGTGACGATGAGATATGAGATAGATAAGTTTAGATTATTGAGAGAGACACACA